TGGGGTTGGAGTGGAGCGGGCCAAGTTGAAAGAGTAGAAGGAGGAGAAGGAGGAGGGAAGAGGATGTTCAAGATGGGGATGGAGGAAGAAGATGAAGAAAGAGTGTGACAAGACTAGACCCGACTAGATTTCCACAGAGAGAGGGGGGAAAAGGCAGAGAGAGAGGCAGAGAGAGAGGCAGAGAGGAAGAGTCAGCTGTGTACTGTATGTATGTATGTACTGAAGTAACTAAAACCAAGTAACTAACTAAACTACCTCACAGACATAGTACTAATTTGATTGAGGTAACTAACCATCTAACTGGAACTAAGCAAGCCGCCGAGAGTGAACTAAGGAGGGGAGAACAAGCCGAAATGATAATACGTGGACCTTAACCACAACTACCTAATCTAAGTGACTTAAAAAACAACTTCTACTATGCCAGTAAAGTATGAAGAGAAAAATACCTACCGAGTCTCCGTACAGGCTAATAATATTATTACCCTGCTTTCTGGATCGGGCGGCCCACCTCCGGCTCTTCGGTCTGATGCCCGCAATGAATGGCGGAAATGGATGGTATCGTATCGTCCCTCATCATCCCAAAAACTCTAATCCTACCAGGGGGGGGAGGAGCTGCAGAAGAGGAGGTGAAGGTTGGTATTCAGCAATGGAGAGAACGATGATAACAAGAGACTGACAACCTAGAAGTGTCACACTTAGCAGCTAATATTTATTAAAAGATCATTAACTACTTATCAAGCCATGAAAAGCAGGCAACCATACCTCATAGTCTAATCCTGTAAATTAACCAATTGTTCGGGTTCACGGGCAAAAGTTGAAGAAAACCAAATCCGGCACTAGCTGGAGCCGGAGGGGTGGACACTGGGACAAGCTAGACTGGTAGCTGATCCACCGTCTAAGGCAATGGGCCCGATGGCACTTCCACGGGTCTTCATTAATTGTGAATGCGACCGGCCGCGGAGGGGGCCAAATGGACGAACAGTGCTGAAAGGTTTACTCCGTAGAACCTTAATCACAAGGAAAACAAAAATATTCGATAGAATCAATATTGACAGCTAGAAAGAAAGAACCAACTTTTACCTCCATCAAAATAATATCAGAAGAATAATATTAATATTGATGTGGTATGAGTAGTATGCATTGTGACTTAGTGGGGCTGACAGACTTGACTGACTGACTCTGGGGCTTCCGGGGAGGAGAAACCTGGAGGGCCACGGCTGTGATGTCGTAGTTTAGGGTGCTTTAGGGTGCGACCGACAGGACGGAATAACCTCCGGGGCGGATATTGAATCTTCTTCTTAGTTCTTACCACGGTTGAACTTGTAAAGCCCAACTAAAGTTGGTAAGCGTCGCAGCTATTGATCTCGCTAGCTAGGAACAGCTTAGTATCCTGACATTGTTCTCTAAGCGATGCGACCTCAATGGACAGGAATCTGTTAGTAGGGGAGGTACTAAGCTGAAAGAGTACTAGCAGAGGTCTCTGGGCTCTATGCTGGGCTGTGTAATACCCAGTAGTAATACACATACACTGAATCATGAAGGAAATAGCAGACACTAAGTACTAGGTATTCTAGTATGAGTAGGTACGAATATCAAGGCAATTGGACCATCATTCTCGCAAGTGGATTGTACTGAGTAAGGCGATTCTTCCTCGGCTAGGAGCTTGAGACAGCCAGTAAGATGCATGGATGGTCTCCCTCCCCCTGCCCCTTGACACGATGCTTGCAAACTCAAAAGCAAGGTACCTGCTGTCGAAGGCATGGACTTGTTCTTTTACTCATCCCGTTTGGCGCGGTCTACTTCCTATCGCTTATACTACTGGTAGACACTCTCTGCAGCTGAATCGTTGTGCTGACGGGGTACATGATTGGACATAGAACGTTGGAGGACATGGCCTCTCCGATGGGAAGCTGCTGAAGTTGCCAATGGTCCCGGTAGCACATTAAACCCTGAGGTGTAATCCTTAGAGATATATACACTCTCCGCGGTGGGGATGCTGTTGACACTTGACAATCGGCTGCGCGGTCACGGTATTCCAAACAATGAACCTCGCCTGCGACAAGTAAGTACCCGAGTGCTACCCATGTTCATTTTGACCACATGGAGGAGCTACAGAAGCCGTGATGGGTCATGAAGTTAGGATTTCCCAGTCCGGCGGATCGGTTGCTTCTCCCAGGTGTTCGGGGCGCAAAATACATAACAACGGGCCAGTGGGGGTGGTCAATGCGCCCTTTCCTGCCATCCTGCAGATGCAACCCCAGCGCCTTGCTTGGCTTAAGTGTTATCACCTGGTTAATCCAGCATACCTGGTATCTCAAACGATTCAGATTATTTCCCTTTAAGTCAGTCAGAACTTCTTGTCACCTACTTATCAATGCGATCCACAGATGCCGTTGTGGCCACCTTCGACCCGACCGAGGCTGGGAGGGCAGAATAAAACCGCCGAACTTTACCGATACTTACCAAGATAGTAGTTCAGCAGGTGGCACCACCACACAAGGGTATTTTTTGCCTTTGAGCTATCGTTGCAGCCTGCATACGCAATTCGCACGGCGAGCCAATCATTTATCGAATGGAGACGATTATAATCTTCAAACCTGGGATTTGAGGAGATCCATCATTAGGGTACCGAACGCAAACTACCGGAAGAAGGATCTCATTGAATAAATAGCATTATGAGCAGGGGTTGCTGAACACTTGCAAACCCAATCTATCGATGCATTCAATGATACATACACACTCTGTTCCTCCCTCGTCCCTCTTTCATAATTTTGGAACTATTTGCGATCACGAAGAATCTTAGTCATGGTGGCCCTGGCTTACTGTTGGTTTATTACTGGCACTAGGAAATCACCGAATGGAACCATTATTACCGGCCGAACCTAGGAGAGAAAACCTTAATTGTGTGAGCGGAAAAGCAAATCTGGCACCGATCGAGGTACTGCTGATCACTACTTAACTAAGTAGGAGTCGGGATTTGAAAACCCATCAGCACCGCCTCCAGAATAAAATTGGATGGTCGGATCTGCAGCGGGCGGGTGGCCCTGAGGCAGCAAAAGCGTTTAGGCCCTCAGGCTGATGCGGCACATCTCCGGGGGTCGGGAAAAAGTACGACCACTAAATCATTTAAAAAAAGAAAAAAAGTATGAGTGAATCAGTAAGGTACTGTACAGCCCGGCACAGTCACACTACATGACTACTGGGCCACTGGCATACCTTACCAGTTACTGGCTTGGTACGGGTGGTCCCTGCGCCTGACTCTTCCGTCTCTGGCCAGTGCCGACCGGACATGATCCATGATCCCTGCTTCTTGATCCATGGTCTCTCACCTTTGATCCTTGATCCATGCCATGGTCCTTCAGGCCATTTACGCTCTTATAGTCTAGCCCTGCACAACGGAGCCAACCATACATCACGCCCCACTTTTCTCCTTCAGAGTTCGGGATGCAGGCATCGGCTCGAGGCTCCATCATCTTACTCATTACTGGGTACGTAGTCCACAGAGAAAAACGCCCAAGAGTCGGACTCTCGTGCCACTCTCCGTACGGAGTACGTACCCAAATGAAGGCGGCGGCTGAGTGGAATAGTGGAAACGTTGGAAAAGTTTCAATCCGCCCCACTTGAACGGTCCGCACCGAATAGAGCGGCCCCATCTCAACTACTGGCACTGCTGCTCCGTCCCGGCCTTCGAGACACTCACTTTTCCGAGCTGGCTGCACACACTGAGTTAGTACTCAAGTACTTAGGCACCCGATCTGATCAATATCCACAGGACAGTTGTCATATGGGTGCAGAGTCATCTAGCATGGCAGTCTACCCAAAAGACCAGATTCTCTCGCTTGGAGGAAGTAAACTAAACGTACCTTGTAAGTTGCGTATATCACATCATCACAAACCAGCCTCTGTTTGGACCCACTCTGATTGCAGGATAACGGTGAATGATTCCTCGTGTGTCTGACTTCTTGATACTGCTTAGGCGCTTAGACACTCAGGCAAATGCCAGTTCCGTCCGGAGCTGTCGTCTAGAAAGGGGCTTGCCCCGGACGATCGTGATGCCATCCTGTCAGTGCTCGAAGACGCGCCGTGAGGATCGACTTCAGGGGCCACCATCCCCTTGAAGACTTAGGAGAGCCCTGATAGAGCCAGAGACTAGTAGTCCGCACTCCGTAGATCCCGAATAAATGCAGCCTATGTGCTCAGTACAGCTTCTGGGTGTCTTCTCGACCAGCTCTGGATCACGAATTCGGGTCTATCACACTTTCCGAGGCATTCGATGGCGTTTGAACGATCAGGGAGGATCTCCGTGCCGTATCCGATCGTCAGTTAGCATACATGAATCATATCTTTCACCGACGAC